CGGTGACCACGCTGGCGGTGACCAAGCAGGGCACCTGGCTCGCTGAGCCACGGCTGAATCCACGGAACCATGCATGGAACCATGGTATCTGCTCCGATCTGCTCCGTTCTGACCATTAGTTTGGCCTAGAGTCAGTTCTAGAGTTCGGGATTCTGCGTGGCGAACGAGTCGCTGAGCGGCGATGCTCTTTGCAAGTTCTCAGAGGTCAAGATCATGCTGGAAGGCATCTCCACAGTATACCCCCTCAAGGCCGGCCAAAATTCCAAATAAAATCAAATAAATGGTGGTTGATAGGGTCTGCAAAAAAGAACTCTTTGGACTTGACAAAGAATTCTGAGTGATTCTGAAGGGAGCTTGGTATATTATATATGTCATCCTTCCTCTACAAGCGGTCCGCCCGCGATACTAGGTCCCACACAGAGTATGCTGAGGATGCTGAGGATGCGGCAGACCTGCCACTGAAACGAATCCTGCACCAGACCTGACCTGCCACTGTTTCCTCATACGGAGATCCGTTGACTTCCAAAGCTTGGTCGTTTCCGTGCGACTCGCCACACGTCCCTCTCGCTTGCCTCTGACTCCCACAGACATGGGGGGGCTGGGTCCGTTTTTTCGTTCACCCACATGTCGGTGTCTACCTCCACCGTGGTGCATGGTTTCCCCGTGAGGAAACACGAAACTAGTCCACAACAAATGTTGAATGGTTTTGTGTCAAAAGTACTTGGAACACTTGTGAAAAATGTTAGAAGGCGGGCCTTGTGAGAACTTTCTTCACCAATAATTAAACAGCATCAAACAACATGTGAAAACAAACGGATCCTCTGCCACCCGGTGCGGATCCTGTTCGCAGTGCGGGGCACGGAGCCGGGCGCGGAGCTGGGCGCCACAAAGCTGGGGGCCTCGGAGGGCAGGGCGGTGGAGGGTGGTCTCGTTGGAACCTGGTACCGAACATATCCAACGAATTAGGGCATGGCATGTTTGTTCAAGTAGTGAAAAACATCTTCACACCGCCCATCTTCAGCACATGATGGCAGCTCGTCTTCCAGAACGCTTCAAGCTCCCCGGCCGCCAGCATGGCGCCGGTGAGGGCAATACCTGTTTCTCGCATGGCGCCAGTGAGTGACTCTGTTTCAACGAAAACGGCGTGTGCCAAGTCTGGGACCACTTGTTTTGGTCAGGCATTTTGCACTGGAGGAAAAAGACCATGGACCATATGAATTTCATTTCAGCTTCCGGTGTCCACCTGGGCTGTTCCATTCCGGAGTGCATCTCTCTAGTTACTCGACGCAAAACTGTCCACTGCCTCCAGCCACACGTCGTCCGTTCTGTGCCATCGTGCCAATAAGCACTCCTGGAACCGAAGAGCTGGAACGGTCATTGGACACAGTGCACCGAGAGACACGGACCAGGGTCAGTCATGAGTGCGCCTCGTCTGACCGTTCGACTGGGCGAATTAGTTGGAATCCCCACGCTTTCTTGCACCTGGTCCAGACATCGACTGCGACAAAAACCAATCCGCCAAACCCTTCAATATCCCAATATGACAGGGATGGTTGTCCTTTCAAAATCCGCCCAAGCTGCACAGAATGATGTCGGTGGCTGTATGGTTTCGATAATTATTCTCATTCCTGACACTCTTGACACCATCAAAATCGCCACAACAGCGCTGCAAACGCCCCACCAGCTTTGCCTTGGGTTCACTCCGTTCACCGGAAAAAGTACGGAGCCAAAACAGCTGAGGCCGGATCCCACAAGTTGCGGCTCCCACACGATCGGAACGGTCTCTTGTTCACTATGATGGTCGCAAACGTCATCAATCTCCTGGTGACAAGCCGGACAACCAATGTATTTGACAAAAGCTTGCAATTTGCAAGGACGCCTGGCGTATACAGCGATGGCCTTCAATGAGTCAGCAGCCTCATGTTTAGACCTTCCCCCTGGGCTACTGCGGTGGCCCCACTGCCCACGCCCCGCATCCCAGAATCAAGTCTGCAAGGGTGGCAGCCAAATAAGGAGCAGGACTTGAAAGGACAAGGTCTTCCAAGCAGGCAAAAATCCATGAACCTTGATCCTAGGCGGTTGCGAGGGTCTACTTGAGCATGTGCTTGGTCGCATTGCTCTACCAACAGGTGGGAACCCGTGCGCCAAGAACTGAGCCACCTTGCTGCCAGCCTAGAGCACCCACATGCTGAACCCGTTCGTGCAACCTGGTATTTGGCGCGTGAAGCATCATGGAACTGGAATGACTCATACGGATACCATAAAGGCGCATATGGACACCCAAATTGATGATGCTGGGTCAGCACATGAAGCCACATGGCAATGGAACTATTTTGCGGACGGACAGATGGACGGGTAGAATTGGGCCCCTGCTCGGAGCCTTTTACCACACATCTCTTATTAACCAAATCAGTCTTGAATACCTTCGAATACCACAAATCAACGGTTTTGGCAGTCAACCCGACGCTGTTGGAGTGTTTTCCCGATGTTTGCACCCGTTGCACCCCGTTGAACAGCTAACAGGTTGTGATGCTCCGCTGCGGGAACCTACACTGCATCTCTCATGATATGTCTCTGGCATCAAACAATAACAAATGACACAGGGTGTTTCCATGGAGAGCAAACACAGTGGTAAGTGCACTTGGGAGCACAACCATGCGTGATCCCAGGAAGGCGTGATGGTTCTTTTCAACCGAAGCACATGCGTAATAAAGGCTCTTGCATCACAAGGTGTCTCCACAGCACATTGCAGCAAACATGTCCCCATGAGTGATTCTCAACATTTCTCCACGGACTGGCGTTGAAATCATGAGATCCCAGCGAAGCCTACTCAAATTTGACCAGACCTGTCTCATGTGGCCACATCAGATCTGTCTCCGAAACTCAGATCTCTGCATCCTTAGACAACCCATGTGGTCCAAAACCAGTGGCCGCAGGCACGAACGGTCCGACCAAGGTGAGGGCCATGCAAAGAAAAGGCAGCCAGTGGCACTGGGATTAGTCATCAAATGATTATTGATTTTAAACATGTATATTTATAATTATTTATATACCAAAAATCAATGACCAACAAATACGAATCATGGCCTACTAGTCAGACCCCTGTAGTGCATCTTTCCTCCAGCCTCGCAGAGGGAAAAAAGAAAAGAACCGTAACGAACGAGACGACCGATGGGTGTGACCGATGGGTGAGACCCGACCTTTGGGGATCCCACCGATCGGGTGAAGACGGTTTGCACCGACCTTCGCCCGGGTCTCTGGGAGGTCTCAGCTCCGCCCCGGGTCACTGGGAGAGCCGCGCGCGCGAAAAGCCAGCTGCTGGGCCTCGGTCTGCTCCGGTGGGTGCTTGGTGGGGTTGAGCATCAAGTGCATGGAACAGGTGGTGGGGCATGAAGAATACATTTAAAGTAAATAAAACAATAGTATTCAATTCAAAGTTCTTTTAGGTTACATCGACTCAACAGTTGGTGATCAAGTTCTTAGCTTGTTAGTACATCGACTTCCTCGAATAGCAGCCTGTGGTCTCGCCGGTGGTCGGCACATGTTCCCCTCGTCTACATTCCAAAAAGATCATGGGCTCTCTGGCAGCCAGAGATGCTCTGAGGAGGAGCTGCGGGGATTCTGGGAGGATGAAATGTGTATGTTGTGTATACTAGGACCCTCCGACAGGTCACCAATTGAGACCTGACCCTCAACTAACGACCTGTTTGAGGGTGCTGGTTGACTCTTGATATCTTGACTCTTGGTTAACAACCCGTTCTTCAAGCCACATGGGGAAGAGTCTTTCATTCTATCCTTGGCGGGTCCACTGGTGCCATCCACCAAGGTCCGGGTTTTCCACCGGGCCAACGCATGGATAGGCATGGATAGGCAACTAAGATGGGAGACCGATGGGTTTGCCTTTGGGGGCACCACGGCGAAGAAACCGTTCAATGTTGGCCACTCTGATGTTCAGAACACGAAGAGAAGACAGGAATTCTTGTGTGTTTCATCTTCTTTTCCTAGGCTCAAACCTTTACGTGCAACCCGGTTGCCCTGGCTCACACTCGTATGGATTCTGCGGGTACCACACGGAGCCCCTTGCAACTTGATGGGTGGTCTCAGTCCCACCCGAACGGGGTTGGAAAGCGAACGGCGAACTGCTATGACTGTGGTTCCCAAACTATCCGAACGGGCGAAGTCATGCGGGTTGTGATATGTCCAAAATGTGTCCAACTGAAGTAGGGGGTTGCACTTCCTACATGCTGCGGAGGAAAACACCTACTATCCTGCGGTTCCTCATTCTGCCCCACTTGCCACTGCTTTTGTCGCGCGGAAACAAAGCAATCTCGGTGATCGAGCCGGCTCGAGCGCCGGACGAGCGCCGGGCGTTGTTATTGGGAACATGTAGTAGGACCACAGAGTAGCCCCTAGAAAAATGTTGGGACCATGAACAGTTGAACAGTTATAATGAAGCAGGGCCTCTTTGATTGAAACTTAGGTGAGTTTTCTCCCAGAGACTATGTGACTTTTTGAATCTGATTGGTCTGTGACTTCATCCATGGCCTCGGTGCTTGAACAAAAACAGAGTTCCAGTAATGTTCGCGCCATCGCGTTGACCATGGCGCTCGAGGTCGTCGAACTTGGGGCGCATCCGAGCGTTCGTTGGGTTCAACCATGTATTTTAAATGTATGTATGTATGTATGTATGTATGTATGTATATATATATACAACCACTTATGAGGAACGGGGGCCATGAACGCTGAGATCCCTGAGTTTTTTTGTGCAGCAGTTGTGATTTCCCTCAGCTGCTTGTTGTGGCAGGAAGAACGTCAGTGGCCTGTTGAAGTGCACTTGAGCATCTCAAAACTCGAAAACTGGTGTTTACCTCTTTGGGATACCCGTCGCTTGTTCTGAATGTTTGCTCTGTCCGGCTGCAAATACGAAATCTACCACCTTCACATAGACGGCTTGAGAAGCTGCGCTGGAAGGCATCTACCTACCTCCTCCATCGCTCAGTGGAAAACGCGCCACCCGGAACGCATGAACCCAACGGACGTGTCAGAAACACCAGCTGGCACCTTTGGCCAAAAGTCCGGCGCGTGGGAAAACGGCCGTCCAAATGCAGAGCAAACAGGCTGATCGCAGTAAACGTGCAGCCCCCTTCACCGCGTGAAATTCACCAAACGGTCAAAGGATAACGTGACATCAACATACGGGTTGAAACATCCGCAAATCTCTTCACAGTCACTCCTCCCCTCTTTCTCGCAGTACCCTCAAAAAGGATCAAAAATGCTTCACGGTTCGCATCTCGCAACTTCCCAAAGAAATGCGTCCAAAAGATCGATGGACCAAAGCTACAGTTCTCTCCGGTTCTCTCCCTGCGAACTCCCGCGATTCCTGGGAGTCATCCCCCTACTACAAGCACACTGTGCCAAGCACATGCCACGTGAACTTGTTCTCCTCTAAGACTCTAAGATCCAAGCCACACGTTCACCATTGCATGGTCATGTATGAAAAGAAACACCTCGTTGCTCCAGCGTACGACAGTCTCTCGATGCCATTCAGCTGACCTGTGCTCTCATCAGCATGGGTTTCTGGCTCGAAGATCCACGGCCCAATACCTAGGTCTGCTCAGGAGGCAGTTCTGGAGGGTTGCCAAGTGGTCTGCTCGGGGCAGGACCTGCGTCTCGAGAAAACCGGCAGTTCTGGAGCCACAGGTCCATGCTTCTCATTATTGAAGGTCCCAGCCTTACAGGCCCAACAAGAAGGAACAGAACCGTTTAGATCCGTTTAGTTAGTGGTCAGGAAAATGTCCTATGCTGCTCAGTTTTTGACCCTGGCCCATCTGTTCAGCACCCTACAGAGCTGCACTGGGGTGGTTAATGACTTGACTCCAATACTCTGGTACCTGTCATGCTTGCCATCGGAACTCTTGCCATTTCTATATGTTTATTAGACATATATATATATATATGTATTATAATGTGTGTGAGTGTGTGTTGGAAAGAGGGGACCCCACAACCAATGCGCTTTAGTGATTGCTTGCTCCTCCCAAGGGTTTTGGGATGTCTCCCCGTTTCAGTACACAACCATTGTGCGTCATGCCATGCTCCTGCTTTCGGTCCGTTTCCCCTACTTCCCTCGTAAACCTTCTCCATGGCACGAAGACTTCTTCGCCCACGTCGCGCACACAGAGCCCCAATGCCTCGAAGGGATCCTTCCGACCTCAAAAGGAGATGATTTCCCGCAGAGCTGCTGTGGACCGAGAACACAGTTACATGATGTTACATGTTTACAGGGGTGAACACGTTTCGATCCATGTGGGAATCACTGTATGTTTGCTGTCTTGGTGGAATGTCTAGCTTCCATTTTGGGGGTCACCATGAAAACCTCATCAGGACCCTCTAAACGAGTGGTCTTGGTACTGGCATGTACTGGTTGGTTTTTGCGAACAGCATGGCATTCTCTGCTTCTTGGTGTGGAAGAACGAACACGAGGGCGAAGCCGACAAAGCGCCAACAAGTATTTCATCGATCACAAAGAAGTGAATGTCTTTTTGCTAGGCCAAGTGAAAAAGATGTGAAAGGTACTTCTTGGGGATCTACTTGGGAGAATGATGATTGGGTGGGCGGATGACCTGGTCAATTGGTCAATTAAATTCATAATTCTCTCCAACACATTCATGGGAGGATCCACAAAACCTGGGAATGGGAAACATAAATAATGAACACTACTTCGTTGGGGTGCCTTGACTCCTGCATAGAACAAAAGAAACGTGACACCAGCATGATCTTAGACCTTAACAGTCCCGTTGTCAAATGATAAGTGTTCCCGTGTCTTCAATGGTTCTGTCTCAAACTTTAGGGTGCCTGTGTACTATAGGGAAGATGGTCGTGACATGAGATCATTGTCCATCCAAGGTGCTTCTCTCCTCCCAGGTGACCTTGTGCTGTGCCAGCCTCTCTGGTTCATGTCCTTGGATAGCATGCATGAACAGCCTGGAATCCACCAGGAGAGTTTGTCCATCGCTTGGAGATTCCACCACGACCATGGGACATAGGCACGACCATAGGAGTGCTCCCGAGAACAGGCGAAAAACACACCAAAGGCACGAACGCTGCTGAAAGCTTGGCATCTGCGCAATCGCTCCGTGGCAGAACCATCGTCGCTCGGTGTCGCTGCCGATCCACTGAACATGAAGCACCCAGCTTCCGAAGCTCTCCCAAAACCAACCAAACTGAGGCGAAGGCAAGAACCGACCAATTGATGTCCACTACCTTTCAACAAAAGGTGCCCCTTGAAAGGCCAACGTCATGTAATAACATTCTTAATGTCTTACGCCAGCCTAGGTACCCTTCTTTAAATCCCTTTTCCTGTTTAACATCGCTACCTTTCCCGCAAGTCCATGATCCACCCACCTCACCACACCTACAGCACATCTCGTTTATTCGGCGCACGCGCCGCACGGCGACCAAGCGACCCAACAACTCCCAGTGCTCCAATCGACCATCAGAGAAGAGCGCCCACAGCTGGCCCTGCGAGCTCAAGGGAAGAGCCAGTCTTCGGTGGGGGCGCTTCGAAAACCACAGGACAATTAAGTGGGTATGTTCAACCTCCTCTGCATCCTTTGGTGAATCAGTATGAGATATCGCACGACGAATCGACCAGATGTGCGCCCTTTTCGCTCGAGTCCGTTCACCCATGAGAGCCGCCGCACTTTGATCTCAACATCCCTACCCCTAGTGATGGGGGGACTTTGGAAACAGAAAGGAAAATGTAAGCTACATGTCCAAGGTATTTCATGCAAAAAATATAGGTTACATTTAGGAGGATAACAGGGTAGGAAAATGTAACTTATATATATACATGTTTGCACAAGCGGCGACTGCTGAGGTCAGAAATCAGCATACCCTCCAGACTACCCCGGTGGAGGTTCTCAAAGAGACGGTTTATGAGCAATGATGCTGCCATTATTGTCATCCTATGGCAAGGCTACCATGGATTTCGGAGAAAGCACAAAAAGCTGAACCATGTTGACCTCTCTTCATCTGGGAACCCCATCAGGAGCCGGTTGCTGGAGCATCAATATACTTGGAAGGATCCGTGCAGCACGACAGCCCAAGCCAAGTCACATGGAACTCTCCGCACATGTTCCCAAATCGCTCGCGCAAATTTTTAATGTACTCGTGGTGGTTCACGGCTTCATCAAAGCCACAAAAAAAACGCCTGGATGCCCCGGTATCCCACAGATTTTGTAATTAGAAGTGCTTGCAGCCCTGCAAACAAATTGCAAGCTTCAGGTTGACCAACGTGAAGGGGGAACTCGCACGTTGAAAGAAAAACTCGACGGATCTCGTTCCAAAACCAGGGTGAAGGATAAAAAATGATAGGGAGCAAAAAAGACATTTTTGGATACTGTATCGAAAAGTACTAATTGCAACCAAAAATAGTTGTCACTTGCGGTGCCAGGCGCAATGCTTTGTGGACCTAGCAGTGCAGTTTTCGTGGGAAGTTAAGCGGCATATTGGGCCTTTTCGGCTGCCACGCACGCCAACCTTCGGACTGGCAAAGTTGAAACTCCCAGGCTGTAATCCTGAAAGACGGTCAATGAGTGTACAGGGGCAGAGGCGCCCTGCAAGAAGGCCCCAGACTTCTTGGGCCTTGAGGTCTGGCGCTTGCTCAGCAAACTTCATCAGGGTAGGAGCTGTCGTCCACATAAAATCGTCCTCATCTAAATCCGCGCCGCATACACCGCAGACCCCGGGGCCTTTGCAAGTGCGCATTATCACGTTGTCTGTGATCTCTCCAGCGTCCGGAGGCAAGGACCTTTAAATCCCACGGTTGCAGCATTGGATGGCTCCACACTGCCATTGGGCCAACCCACGCTGAACCATGAATTGCAACGTGGCACTGACGGTCCTGGCAAAAAGAGATACAAGGCACAGACCTCGGAACAGGGAGTTCCCACGAGGGTCGGGTTCTAAAGACATCGGACCACTAGAAGCAACAACAACCACAACCATCACAACTAACAACTGACAACCTCTTCAGCATCTCATCTCCACATTCCGCTTTCTATCCCCGGTCGCGGTTCGCGTCTTGCGTCGAGTCTCGCGCAGACCGGCCTCCACCAGATGGACTGCTGCCAGGCGATTCTTCGAGCCCTGCGAGGCGGGGCTTTCTCCGGTGCAAGATGGAGTTCGGGCCCCACCTGAGGTTTGGAGAGTTAAGGGAGCGATGATGATGATGATGATGATGATGATGATGATGATGATGATGATGATGATGATGATGATGATGCTGCTGCTGCTGCTGATGATGATGATGATGATGATGATGATGATGTGTGACTTCCCGCAATTCCTCCAATCCACACCGGCGCACAAGAGCTGGGCCGTGGCTCCCTTGGTCTTGTCCAACTTCAGAGGTCATCGGTACATTGGTGGAACCTATCTCCAGCCCATGATGGATCTTTCACCTGAACTGGAAGGGATGCTGGAAGGACTCATGGTTTCACCCTGCCCGCCGGTTTTGAGGGGGTTCAAAAAAGAACCTCGAAGGATGTTGCTGGGTGGCGATGCTTCAATTTTCAATCACAATCCAAGTCCACACCAGCCGCCTGCTTCACTGTCCAGAACGGTTGGTGAATCTCGTTCACCTTCTCTCACTCGCCTGAGAAGTGTTGAACTCCAGTGGCGACCTCCATCTTAAGTGAGATCCCCTGGCACCAAAGTGCGCTGTTTCCAAGTTTCCATGCTGCAAGTTTCAGATCCTCATTCTATGACAATATGTGTTTCACTCGTTGGCCTTGAGAAGTACAGCAAATAGAGGAATGAGATAGATCCTACTATCTCCAAAGCACGCGGAACCCAGAAATGGCATGAAATGGCCATGGTGCCGACACCTCTGAGACAGGGTGGTCCAGTGCAGCAAGAGCTTGGACTGATGGGAGGAGAGCATCAACAAGCATCTGGGCCTCGGAGGTGCCGACCGACGCTGGTCGGCACCGGTCAAGGGGGAAGGTCGATCGGTCCTGCTCGGTGTCGGGAAGGAAAAGCGGTGTCTGGGACTGGAAAATGGGAGGACCGGAAATTCGATCTCCCGAGTCATGAACAGAGCTATTTCCCAAGCCATGAAGAACCAGACCAAGCATGACCATCAACCTGTCTCCCCACATCAATTGTGGGGCTGAAAGCATTACTTTCTGAACAGATCCTGGGTGATAGCCGGTGATAGCAGCTCCTTCCTGCACCATGTCCACAATGTGTCACAAAGAACTTTTGCCTGGCCCCAAAGCTTCACGACCTTGCCGAACTTGCCTGCCCAAGGTACTCAGATGCCAAAATGTCCAAGGCAGAGCAAGGCAACAAGGATCCAGCATAGAAGCGGTGAGCATCCGGCAGTTGGACGCTGATCTGATTACCATCCGTGGTGTTCACCAGATGCAAGGAATCCTCAGCAACACCGGGAGTGAACAAGAAGGCAGGATTGATGGTTGATGCATCGGACATGATGGGCTTTGCCTCTCCCAGTTTCCTTTTATAAACCTACTGGGAACGGCGTCCAACCTAATAGTGATGGCCTCCAACCATATAGCGATGGCCTCCAACCTACTGGCGATGGCCTCCAACCTACTGGCGATGGCCTCCAACCTACTAGCGATGGCTTCCAACCTACTGGCGATGGCCTCCAACCTACTAGGGATGGCCTCAAACATCCTTGTAGGGGGTCGAAGTTGGAGAGGCAAGGTCCATCCTTGCTGGTCATCGCTGCATTGTTGATCGAAGGTCTGTGTCCTACAAACCAAGAGTGTCCTGAAGGCTCCAGGGTTTGAACTGCTTGGGACCCGGATCCCATCCTCATCCCAAAACCTGCTGAGCATCAGCCCTCTGCTCCACTTGGAGGCAGCGCTGTGTTCTAGCCTCGCACAAGATCCGTCTCATGGGAAGGTCCTTCTCATGGCGCCGCACGGTACCGTGGGTTGGTCGGGCAGCGAGCCTAGAAACGTTTTGCCTCAAGGTTGAAGCGAAGCTATCGGCGTGCTTCGTGTACTTGCTGGTACCTTTCCAGTCCCAAATTCTCTGAATTTCTGTTCACATCCATACTTCTTTACACCTGAAGAGGAAGAGAGTCATCCAGGCAGGTCCTGCTCCTGCAAAGACAGCACTCCAGCATGGTCCTGCAATGTTCTTCATCAAGAGAAGAATGGCAACGTTTTCAAGGAGACAAATTGGGTACAGGGTCTTTATATGCATGTTCCTATTGTGGCTATGGATGTGCTGCTGTATCATGTTGTATCTCCTTCAATGTGTATTGCATGTCTATGAGTCTATGAGAGAAAGATAATTAGAAACCATGAAAAAATGCAAAGGACTAGAAACAATAGAAACTAGGAACTAGGAACAATATAAAAGCTAATAGATCTCAACAATAAGGAACCGCTCTTTTTCCCCAAATACTCCTGTCAGAGATCATGTCCAACATACTTTGAATCCAGAATGCATGCCTGCAATTCGAAGTGCGCGAAGGGGGATGAGATCAAAAGGCGATGAGGCTGATCACACGACCTTGATCGGGGCATTGGGTCGAACCGCGAAGGATCGGCAGGTGGTGATTGGAGAAGTAGCCTCACCAGGCGATGGGCTGTGAGGAACTGGCCCCAGAAAACCGACCGGGCACAACCTGCAAAATCGTTCGCGGGACCATGGTGGACTGGTTCGGGTTCCAGGTGCCGCCTCAACCCTGACCTTAAAAACCCATCTGAGGTTGGTTGCTCCGACAGGTCTTCCCATGTTGGGTATTGGCCCAACCCATCCGTTGTTCTCGAACGCACCCCTTCCTTCAGAGACTCGAGTCACATAGTATTTCTAACATGGATCAAAGGGATTTCGGGCCGGGGATCCAGGAGCCCCAAACGGACCAAGATGTCGAACACCAATTGCTGCTCGTCTTCGGGGATTCATCGTACCCAGTGGTCTCCCGCGAACGAATTCTTCTGCACCAGTCAAGAAGAGAAAAGGATTTAAAACACATCAAAACACCTAGATAGCCTATAAACGATAATCATTCTAAACACCTAAACATCTCTTCCTCATTGGTTTTTACCCCGGTTCAGACCCTTGAGTCCCCTTCGTTTCCCTGTTTCCGGACCGACCCGGCGGACGACCGGGTTGCCGGGCGTCAAGTGCTCCGGTCGGAAGAAGGCGTGCGGCCACGGCACCTCCAAAGGCTCCAGGGCGATGGCCTGGCGTCGCGGCGACGAGTCGGACGGAGGAGCATGGAGCTGGCTTGGCTGGGTGGAAACCCCCTCTGGGACGGGGCATTCTCCGGTGAGGACTTGGTTCCCACAGTCCTCCCTTCCCCTCAACCCAGGTGGGTTTGATGTTTTTCAAAACGGAGCTATCAAGGTCTGCTGTTCGAGAAACATGGGTCGCGACGTTGTGGGTCAAGACAACCAATGGTCGCGACGGTTCGCCCGGGCAGCCTCCGATGGTCGACATCCACCGAGTCCTTCTTCCAAAAAACCGGTCACCTGGGGACCCTCAGTTGTGGGCACCTGGGAAAAAAGCTGGTCAGGGATACTCTGGCCATTTTCTGGAGCTTGAGAAGAGACAAAGAGCCGACGGATCGTTTGGCCCGGCCACTTCAGTTTCCCAAGTTCCGGAGGGGATGAATCTGGGTGACCGCTGGTGAAATCTAGATGGGTCCTCAAGGTTCTTTCACAGCTTGGCATTGCCCTAGTAACAAAAAGCTACTAGTAACAAGGTGCATCGCTATTGGTAACAAGAAGCTACTAGTAGCTCCTGGCATTACTACTAGATACTACTAAAAACAAGGAGCTAAGTACTAATAACAAGTGGGTCTCCAAGAAACCAGCGTGCGTTAATCTAAAAAGACCACTTGGCAGTTGACCGCTCCGATGTCAAATTCTGTCACACAGCCACGTACACAAAAAGGTCATGTGCTTTCAGGAAATGGCATCCTCCCCCCTGTCGGGAAAGTCCGAAGATCCTCCCAACCTCTAACACCCCCCAGGTCTACCTGAAATCACTGAAATGCATGCAAAGTAACAAGGAGCACCTCCCAAACGTCTGTAATACAGAACTTTTAAATAGAACATGCTGCAATTCTTTGATACAAGAAATGTTCTTCAGATCTTTTCAACTGGGTTTTTCCCACAGGGTGACTGTTAAGCAACTAGTTACATCACAAATGGACTATTTCGGAGAGCCAAACCGGGTTGGGCACCAGCCATGGCGCAGCTTGCATGGATCCGCGAACCCCCCGCGACGTCTGTAAGGGACCTTACAGGTCCTCGGGTCTCCGCCCACTCCGCTGCGGCAGAGACGGTCGCTGTGGCCTCTTGAAGACGTCTCTCTTCCACGATGTAAGACCTGGAGTGGTCCGACGAGGTCCATCGACCAGCTTGAGTGGTCCAACGAGTGGATGTTCGGTGGAATGGTTTCAATCGAGGTCGATGCCAGAGGACAGGGAGACCTCCCAGTTTGACCCAGGATGGGATAGGACACAGACCATTGCAGTCGGAGGTCTCCCTATCAATTGGCTCACAACCATATCATATATATCATGTCAATTCATACCTCCAGAAGAAGGCCAATTCATTGAGGCACGACTGGGTCGTGCAGGATTTCATGAACATCTTCCAACCAAAATTGCTGGGACCAACTGACATCCAGTCTGAACACAGGGCGCCCGAGGGTTGACGCAACTGAGCATGGCTAACGTTTGAGCTGGGCTGAGCTGGGCATATTCCAAAATTCACCAGCTGAAAACACAGCGGCAAAAAATGCCTGCTTCCTTTCGAAATCGTCTTGAAAACACAATCACTTGAGGCTCACTTGACCGGTACCCGTCACGGAAAGACACTGGTAGAAGCTTTATATCCAGAGTTGCCTTTAAAATGATTGAGAGACCTACGGCCTTCAAGAGTCATCCTGCAAATGTTCAAGGCAAATCTGATATACATATACTGTATATGTTGTAAATGATGTTGAGGCATCTTCACCCCAGAAACTTCATGTTCATTCAAACCCTGTCGAGAGGAGCTTCTGACCTGCAGTGCTTCAGCTGATTTCCACCTGTCCTGCCTCTTTCGCGGATTTCACGTGTCCCCGCCCGCCACGGCCACCACCGCGGTGGACCACCGGCGGGTTCCGGGCCTCTGGAAGTCGAAGATCACCGCATTCGTCTCGCGCAAGGCACCCATCACCCCGAGGCCAACCCTCAGACCGCGCACCCGAGACCCCGAGAGGCGTGCCAGCGGTGTCAGTGTGGGTTTGTATCGGGGGTGGATACTTTTGGGCCGAATCCAAGAACTTGTGGATGTTCAACTAACCAAGACTGCGAGGATGGCTGTCCAAAAAGACTCCTCTGTCGCCTTCTTCCACTTCGAAGAACGTCCATCTTTGCAGAGAAGTCTTTGCAGATTTTGCAGTATATTTCTCACAGGATGGCTGCCTTTTTCTCACAAGTGTCCCTACAAAATCAAGGAAACCAAAACTCATTAGTGCGAGCGCTTCGGGTGTTGGAAGCTCCCCCCACCCTCCAAACCAAAACCTTTGGAAGCTTCCTTGAAGAACCGTGAGCTCTCCTGCGTCTAGCGCGTTGTAGTAGCTAGGAACATGTTGAGTAATAGCTAAGAGACTGCTACGGTAGACGGTAGACGGCTTAAGTCTGTAGCCTGTTTAGTTCTGTTATAGTGTTTAGTAGCTAGCAGCTAAGAGCCTGCTTAATGAAGTACAGACTTAAAACTATAACCGAACTTCCATCTTTCAGCTGGCCAGCAGCCACACTGGACGGACGATGCCGCCCAGTAGCCACACCAGTTGCAAGACCCGCGTGATGAAGCTCACCTCAGTGAGCCAGCTTTGTGCGGTGAGCGCGACGTGAGCGGGCCTTGCACTAAGATGGCGTTTGAAACCCTCCGTCAAGCTGATAGGTTAGATGGGATATATGGGTGTCTTATGGTGTGTTTTCAAATTGGGAAACCGACCCCTGTTCAACCGTTCAACCCCCCTGGAAGAAGGTATATTGTAAATAGACCAAAAACCAATGCCAGGGGGGGGTCTCTCCATTAAAATACACCGGATTTTTCGTGCAACACATCGTCGTCGTACACCCGATCCAGACGATCCCGACCCTGAGAATTGACCTGAAGATGATTTCCAAACCTCTACAATGCCGGTGGCTTTGGAGTTCCAAGCTAAATCTGGTCTCGGTCTCAAGGAGTTCCATGTCTCTTTGGAGTTCCATCGTCTCCATGCGAATCTGGTCTCCATGCAAAAATTGGACACCTCCAGGAGCCCTCGGCCGACCGTCGCCCCGCACCCAGGCACCAACTCGGACAGTCGCCCCAGGCACCAAATTCCAGGGGAGTCGGTTCACTTCGATCTCCGCTTGTGCGTTGCTACCTCAGGACTGGGCACCCGGAGAGGTGAGGATAGGAGTCCCAGTCTCCACGGGTAGTTCCACCGATGACTCCCAGTTTGTCTAGAGTCTAGACAGTCTAGAGTGGGTGAAATGCAACCCAAAACATCATGGGACCCTCCTATGATAGGTTTTGACCCTGCAGGGGTTGGACCCCAAAAGCATCACCGATCTGAAGGTTCTTGATTCCCAGGGAATCTTCCAAACGGATTCCAAAAAAAGTGACAAAAGACACTGTTCCACTTGTGAACCCTTTTCATCCCTTTTGGTGAATTCCTGACTTTCTGAAACCCAGGCGAAAACTGGCTCATCCCCAAAGAGGAATCCTCCTTAAGATCCAGAAATCCCTTGTTTCTTCTTTTTCGCAGCAGTCGCAGCACCCCATGCGAAACAGCAGTTCCAGGTTCTGCGGGCCCATCCAGTGGAGTCTCATCCAGGACGACACGGATGAGCAGATCCCACGGTCGGACAGCGGCCCAAAAGGACGGCTTCGTGGCGTCGAACCGGACCGGACCGATCCCAAACGCCTTGACGAGGATTCAAAGGCTCTGTGATGAAAAGACCATGCCAAGGATCTGAATCATCTTGAGCTGATGAATCAAGACACGGAAGCCATGGAGGCTCACTTGGAAGCTCACGTGTCACTCGTTTTCCACCAAAAATCATCCCCTTCCTTCCCCCCTTCCTTCCACCCGGTTGGTCTTCTGGGTCACGCCCCTTCACAAAGCCCGTCAGCGGCGTGTGCTCCGAGTGCACCGAGTGCATCGAGCTCCCGCCGTCCTGCAGGACCCCCCGTCGCCCCGCGTCGCTCCTCCCGTGCGTCGAGGCAGGACCGATGCTGTGGTCGACCAAGAACAGGAACAGCTCGGAGTTGGAGACCGGGAGACCGCTGAGACCTGCTGAATCCTGCTGAATCCTTGCTTTGCTTTGGATACTGTCCGGCAAATTGTTTGGGGATACCAAGCAGTGCCAAGAGCGGAATATCCACAGCGTCAGTATGGTCATTTGGAGTATATAATTAGAGCTCTCCCTCTGCGCTCTCAAAGTCCCCAGTGACGCTGCATGTGTTTGTTTGTTTGGGATTTGTGAACCCACACAAAATATCCGAACAATAATTGGTTTACACAGGGACCCTTTTGCCAGATCCGACAGATATTTATCAGATATCCGCCCGACTTCGAAGTCCCCCCCGCTCCGATTCGCTGTCGGACTGCACCGGGTGGTCGTCCACGAAGCCTGAGTGCGATGCCGTGGCGAAGTCGGAGAGTCGTCCAACCACGTGGGGGTCAACTCTCTGTGTGCGCTGCTTAAAGTCTCAGAAAGTTATTGTATAACATGTTACTACCACTCTCATCGGGCACACGTCGATGGTGTACCGGACACACTGCAACATGTTATACAACCAGAAGACTGCAAGAACTTCACACGAAGCTATGGAGCACGCCCCACGCGAATCCACGTTTTTTCAGCCCCAAGCACTTCACTTTGGGTCGGCTTGGCTACAGCATAGTTCATCCCCAAATTCGATGGTTGTCTGAAGCACTAGTTGTCCCTTTGTACCACAACAACAAAGAAACGATTTACAGCCAGGTGGGGATCCAGGTAAAACACAACTTGTAGGGATCCAAGCTGCTACATACCTTAGGTCGGGATGAGTTGAAAGAGGTTGGAACTCTAAAAATGAGGCTCGGCTTCACCACTTTTCCGAAAAGAAGTTGTGCAAAGGTCTCAACATCCACTTCTCAGCAGTTCTCAACATCCATTTCTCAGTACTCAAGAGGGCCTCAAAATGCTTGAAAGGTTCCCTTTTTGTTTCCAAGTGGCCACGAGTGATGCCTTCCACTTGCCGCTTGAAGTCCTGCAAGTCTCGGCTCAAAGGCCAAACATGGCACGACTCATACCCTTGGGTCGGCTTCATGACTTCTGAAGATGGTATTTTCCCAGGGTGTCCTGTTTCCGTAGCGGTTCATGATGTTCCATTATGTTCTACCCCTTCGTTACCAGACGCTTCAAACAGTTATACAGGCAAGAGACCCCAAACAGTGTTCAGAAGATCACGATGATGGGTAAGAAGAGGATTCGTCCTAGTCGTGGTGGTGTGGTGTGGTGCTGGTAGTGGTAGTCGTAGAGGCAGTGGTAGTGTAGTGGTAGTGGCAGTGGGAGTGGTACTCGTCGTAGCAGTAGTAGTAGTCGTCGTCGTCGTGGTAGTAGTGGTAGCAGTGGTGGTAGTGGTAGTGGTAGTGGTAGTGGTAGTGGTAGTGGTACTGGTACTGGTACTGGTAGTGGTAGTGGTAGTGGTGGTGGTAGTGGTAGTGGTAGTGGTAGTAGTAGTGGTCATGGTCATGGTCGTTGTCGTGGTCGTGGTCGTACTAGTAGTAGTAGTAGTAGTAGTAGTAGTAGTAGTAGTAGTAGTAGTAGTCAGTAGTCAGTAGTCAGTAGTCAGTAGTCAGTAGTCAGTAG